TTTTTTTTGGTGAAAGAATAGTGTGTGTTTTTTTAAACTTTTGTTTTTTTTTTTTAATTTTTTTTTTTTTTTTTTTTTTTTTTTGCTAGAGTACCATTTGATTGTGATTTATTAATAAAATAACAATTTGAAATGTAATATTTTGAGTAACCGATCTTAACAGTCGTGTGAATATAAAAATGAGGAGGGTAACCGATGATGGTTTGAAATGTGGCCTTTTCTTAGTCAAGTTCTGCGGTGTTTGGAATCTCGCTATATTTGTAATAAAAGTGGTGCGACTGACACACAGCTGTATTTCTATCCTGTTTTTTTAGATGATTACGTGATTATTTAGTGTGTGCCAGGCATACTGCCATTCAAAAGTTTGGGGGTCAGTAAGAAACTTAATACTTTTATTCAGGAAGGATCTGTAAATTCATCAAAAGTGACAGTGAAGTGACAGTTATAATGTTACAAAAGATATCTGTTTCTGTTTTTGTTTTTTTTAGCTTAATATTTATTAAAGAGTCTTGGATAAAAACAGTTTCCACAAAAATATTAAGCAGCACAACTGTTTTTACTAATAAATGTTTCTCCAGTACCAAATCAGCATATTAGAATGATTTCGGAAGGATTATGTGACACTGAACACTGGAGTAATGATGCTGAAAATTCAGCTTTGCCACCACAGTAATAAATTACTTTTAAAAATATAAATGTGTTTTAGCTGCAAAAGTTGTTTTTGATTGAATAAATACAGTTCTGGTGACCCTAAGAGACAAATCCATAATTAATTAAACACATCTTTCCACATGTAGGATGTCAAAACCACTTTATTTTAAGCCATATAGATTATAAAAATGAGATAATGGCAATAAATGAGCCTCTATGCAATAGGACAAGCCGAAACAAAACACAGCTAAAGCCGCAGAGTTTGCAGGTGGAACCTTCCCTCCAGAGATAATGCCACACTGGCATGATGAAGTCAAATAAATAAACACAATCAGCAAAACTGAAAAGAAATTCATAAATACAGTAAACAGGGAGAGAGACTCTAGAATTAAAGGCTAAGGCCTCAGACTAAACTAACATTATTCTTCTGCTATTATTCAGAGGTTAATCTCAGCTTTAAGAGCGTTGTCTGAGCATGTTAGTTAATGGTTTTGTAGCATTTAAGAAATGTAATAGCGTCTGCATGTTCCTTTTTTAGCAAAAGTGAAGATTAAAACAATTATATAATGTAATGTCACATCTGAAAGAACTTTAAAGTCACCGAATTGGAGACATGATGCAGAATGTTTTAAATGGAGCTGGTTTGTTGTTCATCATGTGGGCATTAATGCAGGCTGGCATGAGATGAGGTGTTTCTGGTGTGGTTGTGTGGTTTTTCCAGGTACGTCTCATTCTCGGCAGGTGTGTATGAGCACTGTGTTCTTACACTGCTGGCAGCGAACCGAGCAGCACCAGGAGAACTTACAGGAGCAGCGCTGGACCACCTCAGCCCGGCCTGCTCGAAAACCTGGGCCACAACATAACAGTTCACATCCGTCTGGTGCCAACCGTGAGGTACCTAGGATGTGGAACAAGGTTAAGTTAAGACCAGGAAATTATTAGAGAATTAATAATCAGAAATTATATACAAGATCAAAGATTATTTTGTGTCTAGTTTTTACACGTTTACCATTACAACGTCGTCCTGCAGTGCCAGGAATGCCGTTGTCTGGATCCAAGAGGCAGAAATCTGGTGAAGGGGCTAGGTAGACCAGGTCCCGTGTGGCTGGTGGCTTCACTTGGGGGTCCCGGGGAAGGAGGGCTGTCCGAGAGCCCACACGTGTCAGCCGTACCTAAGCAGAAAGTACCATGACCCTTGCCCTTAGATGTACATATGTATGCTGCCTTCAACGAGACTACAATGGTGAAATTCTAATGCAACAATGCCTGTATCCTTCACAGAGAATGTAGTCCCATAATGCACTGCGACAAGCTTCAAAAACCATCAAAGATGGTGGATTACATTCAGTGCTTAGTAACATTGGTAAAAAAGACTATTGAACCCACATTTTTTCAAATTTTAGTTAAGGAACCATATTCAACAGTGGAATTCATGGTGGAAAATTGTTACCCATGATTCTGCAGAGAAATATCTACCAATTGTTGAATCGCACAAGAAAATTGTGCCAAAAGAACTCTTTAGCGCCACCCACTCATGTAACATACTGTAATCGAGTAATTTTCCCTATGCTCTCAGGCTATGCATATTTTGCAATAAACATAAAATATATAGTTTCTATATCTATAATTTTAAAACACTAGTTTAATGTTTCTACCTTTAACCGACTGTCATTCGCAGTGCTTTATGGGATTGTAGTTCTTTCTCTCATAGCTATTAAGTACATAGTCTTGTACCTTTGTCTTTTTGTCTCATTTTCAGATACTTATTTGCTTCAAATCAAAATTTGTAGTTTTGTGATTTACCTAGGCTTGACTCACCTTACGTAGGCTTGGTTTATGGCTTATAACACGTTAACAAAGACTTTAAAGATTCCTTTGGGAGAAATGTATAGGAATTATACATTATTATACAAGGCTACTGAACCACACCCTGTTTTTCTAGCACCAAATTACTAACAAAAACCAAACTCAGAAAAACAAACACTTCATACATCAGTTTGATAAGAACTACATAAAATGTCAGAAACCATTTTTGGAAAAATGTAATTGAAGTGTAATTTATTTATTTTTTTGGCACAAGTCCCATTTGTTTACATTAAGAGGGTGGGTTTATGACCTATATTGCAGCCAGCCACCAGGGGGCGTTCGAAACGTTTTGGCTTCACTTTTCAGGATGTGTGTGGCACACTTGGTTCTATATCAGTCACTTATGAGGTTTCATCTCAGTTAGAGTTCCGCCTTAGATGTAGGCAGTAGTCAGCTAGGCAGCTCAGTAGTTTTGGATCAGAGCCATTGTAACATACCTCTGTGGCCCCATCAAAGCGTTCTTTCAGCACAGCACCGACCCAGCGGAACGGAGGCATGACCTTCCAGCAAGTTCTGAGCTCACAGGACCCCGAAACACCATGACACTTACACTCAACCTGCATGTTATGGAGGATCGCCTGAACAAAGATAGAGAAAACCATGAAAACAATATGCAGTTGACGATGAGTTTTAATATCAATAAGTGAAACATCTCACTTGCCTTCCGTCCTGCTTCATTATTGTGAATGTTCATTAGCGGCCGCCCTGACGACATGCCTTTAGCTCTCTCTGGCTCATCCACAAAGGTCTGAGAGAATGCAACGCCATAGGACAGATTATCAGAGCAGCCTGACCACTGGAAACCTAAGGGTGAGTGAGAGGCATATGTTTGGCATAAGTTTTCTTTTATTATTATTTATTTTTTTATCAGTGTGAATTATTGGTTATTGATGTGTCTCACTACGCACCTTCAGGACTGACCCCCCTGACCTTTCGGTCACAGCCGCACCTCTCCAGTTCTCCCCTGCTACAGCCCCGAGTCACAGCCACTGCAACTGCTGCTGATGAAAGAGCATGGACAAAAGCCGCCTCACGGGTGCCTGAAGACAGCACACAAATGGAACAGGACTAAGTTGTCTTTTAGTGTTGACAGTATTGATTGTGTTTT